AGGGTATAAAAACAAAGAACTAAAAGGACATCAAACATCTTGATGTAGCTTTCTTCAACTAACATTTAGGTAGAGAAAAGTATTTTCATTTCTTAAACTTATAACTAAGACATTCTACAAAACTACCACTCACGGCAATTTAAACAAGTCCCAATCAAGAATCCCAACGAATGGCAACTACTTATTCTAGCCGAACAAATCACCCACCCGAAAGAGAGATAAGACGACGAATAAATGCGAGAAAAGAAATTCATAAGAACACAGGAAAGAAACTCAAATGTAGAGCTTTTAGTGAAATATTCGTGCCAATGGATTATCTCCCATTTAGACAATTTCACACTGTTAACTCTATTTTCCCAAAGCTAGCTTAATCTTGGTTCACAATCCAACCATGCAGCAATCCAACTGATTTTCCAATACATATAACAAAAATAATACTAACGGAAGTTTTCAAATTCACTTTATCTGTGACCAAGATGCAGATACTTAACTTTGATTAATCTTCAAATCTGATGATGTATCACCAATCGCTTCAATCCATTTTCGAAATTGTAAGCCTTAATCCAGTGAATATCTACAATAAACAAAGTATTCTCCGCCACAAAAGAGAATTAAACACAAAAATTGCAGATATGTGATTTGTATGGAATGTGCTGTTCTGTTTCATTTAATAGTCACCTTTGGCCTTTAAAATTTGTCTTCTCCTGATCAACAAGAATGCCACCACCCAAACTTGCAAGATGGCAACAACTCCCACAAATATCAACCCAATCTTCTTCCCCTCGTTAAGCTTCTTCGTCTTCGCGGGTGTCAAATTTTTAAGTGAATCCTGGTGATTGTGATCCCTTGCTTCGAGGTTGCATTCTTGGAGGAGGTGGCCGGATGCCTTTCTTTGAAGGGGGCAGAGGTGGGCGTGGAGAAGGTTGGGGAAGCCACAGGGAATCAGATGAGGTGGTCGAGAAGGCAGGAACGGAGATGGTGGAGGCAGAGTATTGGAAAGGATATTGGGCTAACTTAACGTAACAAAACCGGGGCTCGTTTGGGGAGGATTGCAAGTGCATCGTGTAAATATCACAAACCAATAGGAGACTCTAATAGGAGTGTGTGGAGGTGGTAGGGAAAGCGGCGGAGTGTGAGGAGTTGTGTGGTGGCGGAGGCTTCATATTTTGTTGAGACTTCACAATTAGTGCAACGAAACCAAAGAAAAACCCAAAACTAACAATCAGCAAAGTGAAAAATGGCAAATCCAGAACTGTCCCAAGATTATTCAAGAAACTAGAATTCAGTCAATAACTGTTTCAATGTTCTGGATTATATTTATAGCCACACTGAAGTAAACTTTAATGTCACCATTAAAGTTTTGAATAATTATATAATTGATCACTTAAGTTATTATTTTTTACGATTATAGTCATTTAAATTTTTTATAGTTATACTTATGATCATTCAGTTAAAACAATGACATTATTTAATACATCAAAATCAAATCGGCAAAAAACATTCTAGGAAAAACATGGGTTTAGCATGACTTAAACCCAAAAATCTAATTACATTAAATTTTTTTAGCCTAAACATGTTTAATCTCCAATTCATAATTTCTCCATCTTTGCTTATTTGAAATAATAAATAATATATTTGAAGGCACATTGACACTTGATGATATCACGTGGGATTTAAAATCAATTTTTTTGACTAAGCGATCCATAGTAGTAACAATTAGAAACTTGAATAATATTATAAGAAAATAAACCATAGACGTAATTAAAACTAATGTTTTTGTTAATTGATGAATTAATGATTTTTTTTATGTATTTTATATGTTATAGTCTTTTGCTGTCATGGAACGTTATATCCTTCACTCATAAATGTTTCTTTTTGTCCACGGTAGAAAATCTTTATCTTACCCATTTCAAGATAATCTTACTTACGATTCTCACATTTGAATAGAACTGTAAGTAATGTTTTCCTACCATATCATCGGACAGTCTTATTTTGTCCACTGTGGACACAAGAACAATTTCGATCTTTTACTAATACTAGTTGAGCCACGTGCAAT